AAAAAAGTAGATCAGAGACATATTTATAGTAATTATGCAGGCAAATTTGCCTGCAAATCTCTACCAATTAAGAGATAGTATATACAGTTAGATCTCTCTAAATACACCCTTCCTAAATACAATATCTTTCTAAATATATAATATAAGCTTGGGCCTATGGTAGGATTTATAGATAAATACATATTCTTTATTTTATAAATGCATGCTAACTATCTGGCTTACTTATAAAAACTCCCTCCATAAATATATTTACATGATTACTAGCCAATCAAATTTATCATTTCAAGTTTACTAAAACCACATTATCATGTCCTAATAGTAACTTTGCAATTTTATTAATGTTCTCTAATTGCAGCCCTCCCTAAATACATACTCTAGAGGTGGTCCCAGTAATATGCATTTAGAGAGGTTTGACTGTACATTAAACCTATCTAATTATGATCATATAATTTTAAACTACTGTTATATTCAAAAAAAATATACCCTAGGATAACCAAAATTTTCCTAGGTTACACAATATAAATAACACATAATCATCACCTGATTTCAATTGAATGTTATTGTAAAAAAATTAGTAACGTGATCATTAGTAAAATTGATTGACGTTCACCCTACCCTTAACATTCGTGTAACCAATTTCCATATTTGGAACGTTATTACTCGCGCAAATACAGAAATAAATAAAATCGCGTTCGCTAAAATTAATTTATAACAGGTATAAGAAAACATATTTAAACAAGCTTCTTGGAATTAATTCCTCATGATGAATGTAACCAGGAATAAACAACAGGTGAGATTCGTTATGCGAATCCACTTGGCATTGCCTGCTGAGCGGGCGGCTGGTGCAAGTTACGCTGCGGGAGTGAGCCTGTACGTGGCCTTTTCCCTACAGGAATCGCCCGTGTAGACCAGTTTGCGGGGTCCAGTGCGAGTAGGCTCGAAAGCGGCAAGATCCCAAACACGATGTGTTTCAGATGCTGAGAATCCGAATTTGCGTTTCAAGAACGAGATGCGTAATCTAGTGGAAGAATATGGAATCAATGAAAATTTTGACTTTTATCAAAATAGTTTTATAATTTTAATTTTTAAAAAATAATAACATTGGGTATATCAATACAACCGTATATATTATTAATCAGTTTTTTAGCATAACATTTAAACCCATAACAATAATACAGTATTAACTTTTTTATTTTATTTTATAATATATATATAATATTTTACAAATTGTTAAATTTTTAAAAATTAAAATATATCTAATAAACTGAAAAAAATATAGACTAAATTTTATTGATTATAATTTTAAGCAAATGAATCTTCACGATCAGCTTCAACATCTTCCTCCATGGAAGAGAAATTGAGAAAATGTTGTGGCCTATGTAATTCATGATAAAACTCTTTAGGAACATCAAGCTTAAGAGTATATTTCATACTTGTACTATGACTAGGACCCATGAATGAATAATTCCAAATATCATTTTCCGGAACCATGAAGAATCCCATAAATCGATCTGAGAGTAACATTTGGACTTTTTCTGCAAATGTCGGAAGATAACCTATGGATTTAATAGATAGGTTAATGCAAATCTCAATTAATAAATAAAATAAAATAAAATAAAATAAAATCGCACCTGGTGGATTCATTGATGTGTCTTTGTTATTACGAGCCCATTCGAATCCAGCAGGTGTTAATTTATAAGCTGTGAGAGAGCATGATCCGGGTGTAAAGCTCACAGTCATTGTGATTGTCTTATCGCCATCCCAATTCTTATTATCTGCTACTATTCTAGCATGTAAAGATAAAATAGTTGGAGAAAGCTGTGCGGTTTCGAACGGCTGCGTGACAATAAGTCCAAGTGGTTCAAGGTCTCTAATTTGTTCGTGATCTGGAAGCATGTTAGGCAGATTGACCTATAGTTAAAAAAATATAACATTAATCAAAAAAAATCAATGATAAAACCAAGAAAAAAAAATTTTTAAAAAAAGAAAGTTATAAACTTACTGTTTGGTGAGTACCATATTGCGGAACAATAACCAATGCTCTAATTTCTTTGACTTGAGCATTATCACGTGGTGAAATTCCATACAAATAAGCTGAAATTTGAGTGCGGAGATCGGAGATTTGAATAAAACGTTTGAGCACATTCTTTGGTAGGACATAAGTATAACCGGTATCTCTTATATCTTCAGCATTAACATAGATATGGTTAGTACGAAGGTGTAAATTTGTTGATGAAATAGCTCGCACGCGCCATTCTGTCTTTGACGAGAATGTTTGTGTCTCGTAGTTGCTTGTAGTAACAACTAGCATTTCGTCACCATGCACATTTTGAGTCTTGGTTGTAACAGCAGTAAGCTGACTTTGTTCTTTAGTTTGTTTCTCAATTTCTGCGATCTGCTGGCGTTGAAGTGATGGTGCTGAAATTTCCATACCAAGTATAATATCACGAATTTCAGATTGAGTTAGAGAAGCGACATTAACATTGTTCTTTTTTCCGTAATCTGCCAAAATTAAATCTTTAAGTGCGACTTCGACTTTGATCCATTCTTCATCACTTAACGTTGGCCAGATATGATGGGGTTCCGTTATTGTATTCTTATCGGGACGTAAAATCAATTTTGTTTTTTCTGTGTTTACATGTAAGGCTCTTAGTATAAGGATAAGACGAGAAAACGCAGTATATGAAGAAATCGTTTTAAGCCAATCATCGAACAGATTGAACAATGTCTAATAATTGCAGAAATTTCGTTAGTAATTAATCAATTAACGAACCAGCAGAATATGAGCAGATCGAATAAGTACCATTTGAGGCTCTGTAGCGCGTAAGATCAAATCTCCAAATTTTTCGAGCTTGAGACAAGCTTGGAACGGTAATTGTAACTCACTTCCTTTGATGACAATATTTGGGAAATCAAGTAAATGTACTTCAAGAGGATCCAACATTCCTTTTCTAGTTACAATAATCTGTTTAGGTTGTTCTTCAATCGGTAATGAACGAATCAAGGCAGCCACTTCTTCGGCAGTTTTCCATTTCGCTAATTGACCCAAACGTTTTTGTCCGGCCCAGACAGATGTGTGAATGATTTTTAAAAATAGCTGACCAGTTCTTGGGTTGAAAATGAAAATAGCACCATTGATAGGTTTAGTTGTCAAGTTTCCTTCGAATGTTTTATGGATTGTCACACGATATACGTTCGTATCATCCACGAACCAAATAATTTGATTTGAAAATAATTCGGAATAGTTCTGAGATGATAAGTATGGTTCAGTAGGTTCTGAACTGTATAATTGTAAACCTTTTCGGATACGTTCTCGCAAAACGTATAATGCTGGATTGGCTTTCATAATTTTAGCCATCGCAGATTGAATCAATGGCTTCATTCCTGGAATCCAATGACCATAAGCACTATGCAGATTATAGGCCAAGTCGATACCAATCATAATACCAAATGGTGATGGATATATGCTCATATTATCAGTAGAATAATCTAGGAATTTTGCTCTCGTATATCTTTCAATATCGTGAGAATCAAAATCACCCCATCTTAGTTGACAATCCACAAACCATCTTGATGTTGTTGTTCCATCCATAACATCCTTATTATCATTCAAAAGCGAAGGTTTAGATATGTTCCATTTATATGAGGCAAATAGTAATATATCAGCACATGATGAGTTCATCTTGTATGATTTTCTAGGGTGAATAGACTCTTTTTGCACTGTCTCTATCTGCAAACTTTCAAGTTCAGAATCAAATACTTGACAAAGATCCATAATAACACTTTCGTGCACCTTTTGCCATAAATGGGCTCTGAAAATTTGAATCAACGAAATCTTTAAAGTTGGAATCTTTCCGTGCATAAATATACCCGTAAGATCTAGTTGGACTTGGAAACCAACGTATACGTTTGCTCGATTAATTGTTGGCGACCACCATAACGTAAATCGACGATTGGGAATTTGGTTTAGACCAGAACGCTGAGCATTCGTCAATTTCTTATATCTCATACTCTCCTCAAAACCTGACGCCTTTTCCCAAAATAATCCTTCCCATGTAACAAAGTATGTTCCTTTAAAGAGTGTATGTTCTAAGATCCCTTCGACTCCACCTAAAGCTTGAATCATATCAGATCTATAATTATTGAGACACCAAAGTTTTCCATCATGTCTGGAATGTGTCCACCAGAATGGATTGTTCTTTAATACTTGATATTGCTTAAAGTCCGTTCTGACACGCCACCCTTTATCATAAGCTAAGGTATGTCGATCTTTAGAAAATAAAGTGTTTATTCTTGGTAAACCACGATCCCAAGAATCTTCAAGATCTTCAAGGGTCAATCTTCTATTTTGGGCATTAGCTTCTTGACGTTTAAGTGCATATTCGGCCCACACACGTTGAGAGTCAATAAATTCCGACTCCCAAGGTTGAAGGTATCTGAACAAATTCGGTATTAGCTGATCTTCTTCGTGACTCATTCCTGATCTAAAGTGGGTTATTCCAGTCTCTGTTTGTTGACTCCAACGAAGATCACTTTGCGGTATGAGAACGTGCCCCATAGATAACATTCCTAGTCCCTATAATTAGATAGTAAATATTTGCATGTTATTTACAAATTTCAGGAATAAAATTATATGATTTTAAACCAAAGTCATCAATACTTACACCCACTATTATCATAATTTATTGAAAGAAAAATAAACAGTTAGTATGTATTTTTTTTTTTCCTAGAAAATATGGCATGAAAAGTAAATAGACGATAAATCTTACACTCTTTTGGACAATAAAATACGACAGGTGGAAATCTAGAAGGCATCTTTGAATTAAGTCCAATCTTAATTCTTGTTTGAATTTTATTTTCCGCTTTAACGATTATGTCCAATAATTCACGTGTATGCACAACTGCTTCTCTAAAATAGGACATTAGTCCAATAAGACAAGTATTCCATTTATTGGAGATTTTACTAAATGTGGTTGATCCGCTAGCCATTAATATTTGACGAACACGATTGTGGAATTTTTGCATTGATTCTTCGTCAACGCGAAGGAATGCCTGAGCTGTTCTTTCTTTTGTTTGCTCATTTATTAAGTTCCAAACTCCATCTTTGAGAGTGAATTCCTCGTTGAGACTTCGAATCTTTGGAAGAATTCTAACCTCAAAACCGCACATAGAAAATAAAACATTTGGATTGTCCTTAGAATAAACGCTACAAAAAGTATCTTCCCATTCTATTGTAGTAAGCGAACGTGGTAATCTATTTTTTATATCCCAGAATACAGCTCTTCCAGCATTAACATCACTCTTAAATAATCGCATGCGACAATCTCGTGGCCAACATTTCTTGTTATTGTAACCAACAATGTTTTCTGAGTTTGGATCTGGATGTTCGGTCAAATAACGTTGAATTAGATCTCTAGCCTCATCTGCATTAAATCGGAAGAAAATATGAATTTTATCTATGTAGCGACAATATAATCTAATAGGATGTCGAGTCTCTGTAGCAACGTCGCGGAACTGTAAGAAGTCATTTGGCATCTGAGGAGGACCAGCAATTTCTGAAGCTCTTTGAAGTCCAATAACCAATAAATCCAAAATGAGCCCATAATATTGAAAGATAAAACTAGCAAATTGTAATCCACGAATAAGGCCATATGCATTTACATGATTCATATCTTTATAGTTAAGTACTACGTTATTCTTCGCGGTCATATAATCAGCCAAGTTATGATCTAAGATCAATCTTAAGAGCCTGTTCAACAAAGTTAAATCAATCTTTTCATAAACTTTACTAAATTGTGTTTCTAGCATGACATTAATCTCCCCTTGGGATGTTTCCCAAACATCTGTCAAGTTATTAATTCCTTGGCAAAATTTGTAAACAAGCAATGGCGGAGGTTCAGTGTCTGATGGTTTGACCCACGCTGGAAATAGGTTTCTCTTTGTACCTTCATACCAAAGATATTGATCAAGGTAAGCATCAGTAATTTTTTCGAGTGGTTCGACGTCAAATACTGGAATCAAATGACTATAAAGATCCATAAACTCAATTCCGACTTCTTTAAAGGCTCTCTGTGTTAATAGTAAACGTTTAATTCGACTTAATGCCTCATGTGGATTATCATATGCCTGTTCGATCAATCCTAACTCTTCTCTTTGGCTTTGATTAAGACGTCCTTTAACACTATAAGCTTCTTTCAACCTTTCAAGAGCCAAAATTAACAATTTTGTGTCATGTTTGTAGGATAGAGGTGGAAAGGGAATTGGTGAAAATTTACGGCTTTCCAACCAATGGACAGTAGACGTATATATAGCTACTGCTTCCTCTGCTGTTATATAAGGACCATCTTTGAGATAATTATGTTGACGCTCTTGTTCAGCTTTTAGCCACAAACGCGTCAAACGACCAAGATTTTTCTTGCAAACCTAATAACGAAAGAATACATTAATGATTGAATCAACAACTTTATATTGAATTATTCTATGGAAATATAATTCACCGTTTTATCAACTGTTGCACCCCTTCTAATTCTTTCTCTATTATAATGTGCTACACTAGTCCACCAATCTGCTTTGCTTTTAACATATCTTAAGATCATATTCTCAATAGGTTTTGGCATTCCCATTATATGCCATGGGACGTTTGCTTTCCAACACCTCCATGCTTCACTTAGATGTTGTAATATAGTCTTTGATTTGTTCGCCTTGATACCTTCAGGCATCATATCTAGGATATCATGCATGACTGCAGCGCGAAGTTCAAGATCGTAATGAGATTCTACACGTTGCTTAGTTACAGTCTTTGCAATTCCCTTAGAGTGACGGCCTTCAAAGTGACGAGCCAACAAATTTCCAAGCCAACGTTCTAAAAGAGGAACTATCCCTCTCATAAAAAATAACCAAACTCGCCATCCTGGTGCCCAAAATCCACACCCTGGTCCTTTACCTACTGGACCAGTATTAAATCGATAATATATAAGATGTTTCAAATCTTTGCACATTCGAATCTGCCTCATTAAACGATATTTATATCGGTACATTCCTGTCAGTTGACCGACGTGCGCAAAGATATACTGAAGACCGTCAGCTATATGACACATGGCAAAAGTTAATATCGAATATGTAACGCGAAATTATAATATATAATTTGAAAAAATTGAAACGGTTCAATTTTGTGGCATACCTAGTTGGAATGCATCTACATTGCCCAAGCGATATTGTACATGTGAATCGACAACCAACTTTGTTAGACGTAAAATTTCACGACATAAGTGGAATGCATTTCCAAATCGAGACTTTTTACGTTCTTTCGTAGTAAGAGTTTTTACAGGTTTCAAACTAAAACAAAAAAATTTCATATTAAAAATTATATAAATAATAAATAAAGCATCAACACTAAAAAATAATACTAACTTAAAATTATAATCAAGATGTAAGTAATTTAGATTCTTTCGATGAATCAAAAGATTGAGCATGTTGTAGCCTTGACGACAGACTTGTAATCCGGCCTCAACCCAGTCAAGTTCAGTTGTTTGAAAGAATTTTGTGGATTTCAACTGACGGAACAAATATTTTTTATTCAAAGCCTTTGGTGGTCTATGTTTTAGTGCATTTAGCACATAACATTTTATAAGCTTTTGATATGAAACTCGAACTTTAACAGGTTGTCCTGGCGGGCAATGTTCAAGATACCAATTCTTAACTAGGGGTATATCTTCTGCTCTTCGCATTCGTCCGCTACGTTTATTAAATGGATGTGGAGACCACCATAAAGCTATCCCATCAGCAGTAGTATCCGTATAAAGTGGAGTACTTTCTAAAAATGGAAAGACTTTCTCTGGAAGTATAAACTCATCGTCTTCTTCTTTATCGCCAAATATTTCATCTTCATGAGATATTACCGAGTTTTGTGGAACAAAATTACGCGATGAAATAGGATTAATGATAGGATCAAAGTAAAAAGCCGGTAAATCCGGATCCTCTGAACGAATATAAACCACAGATGGTTCATGATACCATGACACATGAACTGATCGTGGAAGAGAATTATACAGAAAAGGAAAAGCAATTTTATATTCAGTGCGAATAGGCTGTCGTATTATGATTTTATTTATGTCATTAAACTCATTCCAGTCATCGTCCGCTGTATCCATATCTAACATAAGTGAAAAAGTGTAATATTTAGCATTTCTATATCAATTCCGATTAAAAAAATGGTATTAACAAAAAAAAAAACAAAAATAAAAATGAAATAAAATAAAATACCTCTATAAAGAGGCTCGAACTTGCTGCCTCCAGGAATCGCCATATTTAGAGCTTTTGCAGTAAAAAATGACTTTAGATCAAATAGATAAAAATAGTTTGAATCGGTGAGGTCTGATAATAGTTGATGTGCCAAACGGTATAAAGTCGACATTATTGGTAAATTCAACTTCCATCGTCTGTATGTTGGTCCATTTACAAATTTTGTGTCCACTAATGGTTTGTGGTCGTAAAACCATTCGAAGACAGGTGCATCTTCCTCTTCTTCTAATTCCATTTGAATTGCCTCTAATGGTTCGACATCTAGAATATTATCACCATAATCCAGTGGAGGTTCTTCATCATCAAATGGCGGAAAACGCATACGTTTGAAATGTCGTCTATCACGTTTTTCCCTGCGCATCATAATCCACATGGTACCCCATTGAGCTATATAGACAGGCTCGATAACCCATGGAATCTCATTTACGAATGTAATTGCACCAGTAATATGGTATAAAACAGGTACTTCACGAACCTAAACACAATTATAAAAATTATATTAGAGATTAAGAAGTAATCATAAATAAAGTTCATAAATAAAGTTTCAGGAAAATATTATAATACCTGTTCCCAAGGCATTGGCATATTTTCCAAAAGTTTTAATACAGCATGAGGGACATATTTCAAGGCACCAAGATATATTCTTTTATCATGACGATATTTTTTGCTGGACATATCGCCGTGATCTTTGATGATCTTTCTAATATGTTCAGGTGGCATATCAACCTTTTCGTGTTCGATGAATCCAAACTTTCTTTTTTCACCATATCGTTTCGATTGCATTTGTTGCCATTTTCGGGCTTTTTCTTCTAACTTTTCAGTTGCATTTTCGACAGGTTGTGAAGTGTTGCCATATTGATTTTGACCATTGTATTGATTTGGAACGTTAGTAAATTGATAATACTGATAGCCAAACGGTTGCTGTGGCTGTGATGGCTGTTGTTGATCAGTATAAACATAACCTCCTTGAGGTTGATAAGGTGAAGATTCACCGTAATCAGACATTAAAACACTGAAAGAGCTATAGAAAGACGTTGAATTTTTTGATTTATTATTATATATATTATATATTAGTTTATGCTTACTGCTGACTTACAAGTAGCCTATTAATTTGATTTGTAATTTCAACGGCTTATTTTATTGGTTATTATAGTCAGCTAGTCATCAGTTGTAGGATAAAAGCTATAATGCAATTTGATTGGTTAATCTACACGTGTAACATCCCACTATTGCTATGCGATTAGTGGAAATGTCCCAAAATAACTATTTATTACCAAAAAAAACCTACAACTGAAACCTTATCAGAAAACTATTATGCTGACGAATTAGAAATATCAAGTAAAGACTCAAGAATCTGGGATACATACCCTGAACAAATAAATAGATCAGTATTAGAAAACCCTTAATTTTGGCCATTTTGGAACCATTACCCAGAACCAAGGAATATTTATTTTAAAGAAATAGATCTGTACAAAGAAATAATATTCCAAAGGCTGTTCCCTTTAAAGGAGGCAGAGTTTATCTTACAGCTTTTCCATAACCGAGAAGCAAGTATCATAACAGAATTTGGAAATACTG